GGGGGAGGCCATCTAGATAAGGAAAGATGGCAAAGTAGGCTGGTGGTGGGGAGTGCTGGAGGGTTCCGGAGAGAAGGAGGCTGATTCCAGATGTTTAAGACGTGGGGTCAGCAGGACCCTGGGTAACCACTGAAACGTGGAGAAGGCGGCTGCCAGGTGAACTAGAGACAGATGTGGGGGAAAGTCATTCTCTCTCAAACTTCTGGAGGGTTTTGTATATGGGATGGAGTTATTTTGGGGACATCATCAGAAATAGGTGTGCCTGTCAGGCAAGCAGTTTACCGGTCAGCCCCGAAAGAGAGCTGAGGCATCACGCCCTATCCCAGTTCACTGCCCATTCTGAAAGCAGAAGCTGGGCAAGCTCCAAAAAGCCAGAAGAACCTTCTAGAAGCCCTGTGTTCTTCTAAGGCCTGACTTGAATCCGATTCCATCTCAAGAGCCAGGGAGGTTGGTCATAGGGGAAGACTGGAGGCTTGATTTTTTTCTCAGGCAGTTGCATTTATTTTCAGGTAGGCTAGCGGCAGTTTGGAGTTCATTTCCCAGATGAGGTCAGAGTTGGAGAGGCAGGTGGCCACAGTGTGCTGTGTGCAGAGTCCCTGCAGCCAACGGGTCACTGGCAGTTCTCACCCAAAGAGGTGCACAGTTCTGACCCGAAGAGGCTGGCCCTGAAGCAGACACAGAAATACCAGGCTTAACTTTATTTATTTTTAAATAAATGATCTGCCTGCCTCAGTCTCCCAAAGTGTTGGGATTATAGACATGAGCCACCACACCTGGCTCATTTCAAGATCTCAGCTCACTGCAACCTATGCCTCCTGGGTTCAAGTGATTCTCCTGCCTCAGCCTCCCAAATAGCTGGGATTATAGGCATGTACCATCACACCTAACTAATTTTTGTATTTTTAGTAGAGACGGGGTTTCACCACGTTGGCCAGGCTGGTCTCAAATTCCTGGCCTCAGATGATTCCCCAGCTTTGGCCTCCCAAAGCGTTAGGATTACAGATATGAGCCACCACACCTGGCTCATTTCAAGATCTTTAACCAGGCTGGGACGGTGGCTCATGCCTGTAATCCCAACACTGGAATGCTGAGTTGGGAGGATTGCTTGAGGCCAGGAGTTTAACAAGACCAGCCTGGGCAACATGGTGAGACCCCATTTCTAAAAAAAAAACAAATTCTTTTTTTTAATTAGCTGGGCATCATGCCTATAGCCCCAGCTTCTCAGGAGGCTAAGCCAGGAGGATCGCTTGAGCTTATAAAAGTTTGAAGCTATAGTGAATTGTGATCACGCCACTGCACTCCAGCCTGGGTGACAGAGTAAGACGCCATCTCATTTAAAAAAAAAAAAAAAAAAAAAAGACCCTGCCGTGAGAGGCACCGTATTCATGGGTTCCAGGGTATTAGGAGATGGAAATCTCCGGGGGAGAATCCACCAATACTTTCTTTAAAGGGCCTAATAGCAACTATTTGGGGCATTGTAGGGTACATGGTCTCTGTTGCCAGGGCCGGCTACATAATTTCCATGTCCTGATGCAAAATAAAAGCCAGGGGCCCTTCATTCATTAACTATAAAGAACTTCAGAATGGGAAACGTGGGAGAGCAGGGCCCCAAGTGATGCAGTTTACACATTCACGAAGCGGGTCCTGTCTGTACAACTTCCGCCTCTGTTATAGCTCAAGAGCGGCCCCTGGCCACACACAAAGGAGAGGCGTGGCTGTGTTAAACTGTCAAACTTTATGGACACTGAAACTTGCATTTCATGTAATTTTCACGTCACAAAATACTATTGTTATATTTTCAACCATGGAAAAATCATTCTTGGCTCACGGGCTGCCGGAAAACAGGCATGGGCCGAATTGGGCTGACTACATGAGCTATGGAATCCCACCCTAGCTTCTCTGCCCGACTTTCCAGGCCCCTCAAGGCCAGTGCCACCTCATTGTTATCTCCCCTCCAAGCTGGCACCTCTGCTCCCTGAATAATCCTCCCCGACAAATCTGTGCCATTGCGCCTGCAGGTCCCACTATCAGGAACTCTCCACCTCTCTTCTCTGCCCAGCCGACCCTTCCTCGTGGATTAATGTGGCCCAAACACTGCCCTCTGTGGGAGGCCGATCTGTGCCCATCTCTTGCCACCCTAGGTAGATTTATGTATCCATGAGTCCATCTCTGCCTCAGGGCAGTGATGTCCTCTAGAGCAGGGACTCAGGCTCAGTCAGCTTCTGTGTCTCCTGACTGCCTGGACTCACAACAGCTTATGCTGAAGGAATGGACAGGGACTGAGAGGGGTATAAGAATGCCCAGAACTACACTGTGGCCGATTCCTACACCCCAGGATCAAAACTATGCTTCTGACTAAAAAAAAAAAAGCAAACCAGAGCCAGACGCAGTGGCTCAAACCTGTAATCCCAGCATTCTGGGAGGCCAACGCAGGTGGATCACTGGAGGTCAAGAGTTTCAGACCAGCCTGGCCAACATGGCAAAACCCTGTCTCTACTAAAAATACAAAAAAATTAGCTGGGCGTGGTGGTACACGCCTGTAATCCCAGCTACTTGGGAGGCTGAGGCAGAAGAATCAGTTGAACCCAGAAGGCAGAGGTTGTGGTGAGTTGAGACTGTGCCACTGCACTCCAGCCCCAGTGACAGAGTGAGACTCCAACTCAAAAAAAAAAAAAAAAAAAAAGCAAAACCAGACAAGAACTTTCTATCTCAAAATCAGAGCAGGGAAATAAAGATATTTGAGACCAAACAGACCAAGGTTTTAATTAAAAAAAAAAATTTAGAGACAGGGTCTTGCTGTCACCCAGGCTGGCATGCAGTGGCACGATCATGGCTTATGGCAACCTCAAACTTCTGAGCTCAATGGATCCTCCCACCTCAGTCACCTGACTGGCTGGGACTACAGGCCCATGCCAGCATGCCTGGTTAAGTTTTATAAGTTTTTGTAGAGATGGAGTCTCGCTTTGTTGCCCAGGCTGGTCTCAAACTCTTGGCCTCAAGGGATCTTCCTGCCTCAGCCTCCCAAAGTGCTGGAATTACAGGTGTGAGTCCCAGAGCCTGCCTTCAGTTCCAAAGATTGTAAAAGTGGGTTATTTAATTTAGTTCTCACAGTGCCCTCAGGAATTACAGCTGACCCTTGAACACATACTCCCCCAGAACTTAACTACTAATAGCCTACTGTTGACCGGAAGTCTTACTGATAACATAAACAATCCATTAACACATATTTTGTATTTTATTTATATCATATACTCTATTTTTATGACAAAGTAAGATAGAGAAAACAAGATGTACTTTAAAAAATCATTAGGAAAAGGCCGAGTACCATGGCTCATACCTGTAATCCCAGCATTGTGGGGGGCTGAGGCAGGTGGATCACCTGAGGTCAGGAGTTTGAGACCAGCCTGGCCAACATGGTGAAACTCTGTCTCTACTAAAAATACAAAAATTAGCCAGGCATGGTAGTGGGTGCCTGTAATCCCAGCTACTCAGGAGGCTGAGGTGGGAGGCGAAGGTTGCAGTGAGCCAAATCATGCCACTGTACTCCAACCTCGGGGATACAGTGAGACCTTGTCTCCAAGGGAAAAAAAAATCATTACAAAGAGAAAATACATTCATCATCCATTAAGTGGAAGTGGATCATAATGGTTTTCATCTTCGTCCTCATCACTCAGAGTAGGTGGTGGCAGCGGCAGGAGAGGAGGGGTTGGTCTTGTCTCATGAGTGGCAGCAGTAGAAGAAAATCCAGTTGTAAGTGGACCTGTACAGTTCAGACCCGGGTTGTTCAAGGATCACCTGTACTACAATCATCCCCATTTTATTTTATTTTTGTTTGTTGGAGACAGCCTCACTCTGTTGCCCAGGCTGGAGTGCAGTGGTGCCATCTCGGCTCACTGCAACCTTTCCCTCTTGGGTTCAAGTGACTCTCCTGCTTCAGCCTCCGGAGTAGCTGGGATTACAGGTGTGTACCACCATGCCTGGCTAATCTTTGTATTTTTAGTAGAGATGGGGTTTCTCCGTGTTGGTCAGGCTGGTCTTGAACTCCTGGCCTCAAATGATCTGCCTGCCTCAGCCTCACAAAGTGCTGGGAGTACAGGTGTGAGCCACTGCATCCAGCCCACCCCCATTTTAGAGATGAGGAAACTGAAACTCAGAGAGATTAAATGATGTGAATGCAGACCCTCTCTCAAAAACAAAAAGAAAAGAAAAAAGCTATTGATGCTGGGTTTGGTGGCTCACGCCTGTAATCCTAGCACTTCAAGAGACCAAGGTGGGTGGATCACTTGAGCTCAGGAGTTTGAGACCAGTCTGGGAAACATGGTAAAACCCTGACTCTACAAATAATACGAAAATTTAGCTGGGTATGGTGGTGTGCGCCTGTGGTCCCAGCTACTCGGGACGCTGAGGTGGGAGGTTGGCTTGAGCCCAGGAGGCTAATGCAGTGAGCCAAGATGGCACCACTGCACTCCAGCCTGGGCAACAGAGTGAGACCCTGTCACAAAAAAAAAAAAAATCTATTGGTAACCGAAATATCTAAAGAAATGACATTCCAGTAGCCATGAACACTCCTGGTGCGACAGATCTTGCCTTCCCACACCATTCTCTGTGAAAAGGAACCATGGCCCCTTGGAAAAATGGCTGCTACTAGAATAAAGGCCAGAAATACACAAGATAGGCCTGGAGCATTTTGCGCTGCCACAAAGTAAGGAACTACTCCAAATAAAACAAACCAACAAACAAAACTCTGAAAAACACGTTGATGGGACTATGTCAAAGGGCCACAGAAGCCAAATTAGAGGGTCGATGGCCGAAGCTGGGACAATTTGACAGACAAAATACAGGAGTATCAGGTTATAACCCAAAGCATAAAATAAATATCCAGCAGTCCATGCTGATATAATTCAATAAATGGGGGAGAGTGAGATAAATCTCCCATGCAGAAGGATTCTAGAAAACTCATGAGTTTCAGCTGTGGACAAGCTTAAAAAATAATAATAATTTATGTAGGGCCAGATGCGGTGATGCATACCTGTAACCCCAGCACTTTGGGAGGCCAAGGCTTGGAGTGCTTGAGGCCAGGAGTTCCAGACTAGCCTGAGCAACACAGTGAGATCCCATCTCTACAAAAAAAATCCAAAAAGTAGCCAGGTGTGATGGTACGCACCTGTAGTTCCAGCTACTAGACAGGCTGAGGCGGAAGGATCTCTTCAGCTCAGGAAGTTGAGGCTGCAGTGAGCCATGATCACACCACTGTACTCCAGCCTGAGCAACAGAGCAAGACTCTGTCTCTAAAATTAAAAAAAAAAAAATTACATAGACAGTCCATCCTTAAGGAAATGGAGTATAACCTCCCACACCATAGGTATGAGTTACACATAGTGACTTCCTTCCACAATATCCAAAATGAAAAGGAGGGTCAGGCATGGTGGCTCACGTCTGTAATTCCAGCACTTAGGGAGGCCAAGGCGGGTAGATCACCTGAGGTCAGGAGTTCGAAACCAGCCTGGCCAACATGGTGAAACCCTGTCTCTACTACAAAATACAAAATTAGCTGAGCATGGTGGTACACACATAATCCCCAGGCTAGAGTGCAGTGGTGCAATCTTGGTTCACTACAACCCCTGCCTCCCACTATAACTCCGCCTCCCAGGTTCAAGCAATTCTCATGCCTTAGCCTCCAGAGTGGCTAGGATTACAGGTGTGCATCACCACATTCAGCTAATGTAATGTTTGTACTTTTTTAGTAGAGACTAGGTTTCACCATGTTGGCCAGGCTAGTCTCAAATTCCTGACCTAAACGGATCCACACACCTCTGTCTCCCAAAGTGCTAGGATTACAGGCATGAGCCACAGTGCCTGGCCAAGACCCTGTCTCTTTAAAGAAATAAATAATGAAGTTGATAGGATGTACCCTTGATATGGTGTGATGAAAACAGCACTTTACTTCCTTGATCTTGGTGCCAATAACCCATCATCGCATTCTTACAAAAAAACACCAGATAAATTCCAATAGAGGGATGGACACTGTACCAAAATACCTGACTGGCTGGCACTCCTCAAAACTGTCAAGGTCATCAAAAACAAGGGAAGTATGAGAATCTGTCACAGCCAAGAAGAGCCTAACAAAATCCCTGAAAGTGAGATGGACTGGCCGGGTGCAGTGGCTCACACCTGTAATCCCAGCACTTTGGGAGGCCGAGGCAGGCGGATCACTTGAGGTCAGGAGTTCAAGACCAGCCTGGCCAACATGGTGAAACCCTGTCTCTACTAAAAATACAAAATTTAGCCAGGCATAATGGTGCATGCCTACAATCCCAGCTACTTGGAAGGCTGAGGCAGGAGAATCACTTGAACCCAGGAGGTGAAGGTTGCAGTGACAGAGATCGCCCCTAAGATCGCATTACTGCGCTCCAGCCTGGGTGACAGAGTGAGACTCCATCTCAAAAAAAAAAAAAAAAAAAAAAAAAAAAAAAACATCAAAAAAAAAAAAAAAAAAAAAAGTAAGATGGTCTGCTAGGTGGGATCCTGGAAGAGAAAAAAGATATTAGGGAAACATAAAGGAAGACTAAATAAACTATGACCTTTACTTAACAGCAAAGTATCAGTATTGGTCCATTAAATTATAGCAAAGTATCAGTATTGATCCATTACATTATATTAATTTGTTACTAATATGTTAAAAATTTGTAATTAAAATATGTTACTATTAGGGAATAATGGTAACTCTGTTTTTTGCTTGTTTGTTTTTAACACAGGGTCTGGGGGCTCACCCTATAATCCTAGCACTTTGGAGGCCAAGGCAGGTGAATCACCTGAGGTCAGGAGTTTGAGACCAGACTGGCCAATATGGTGAAACCCTGTCTCTACTAAAAATACAAAACTTAGCCAGGTATGGTGGTAGGCGCTTGTAATCTCAGCTATTCAGGAGGCTGAGGCTGAGGCTGGAGAACCGCTTGAATCCAGAAGGCGCAGGTTGCAGTGAGCCAAGATCACACCACTGTACTCTAGCCTGGGCAACAGAGTAAGGCTCAGTCTCTAAAAAAAGAAGAAGAAAAAGGGCAGAGTCTGGCTATGGTACCCAGGCTGGTCTGCAACTCCTGGGCTCTAGAGATCCTCCCACCTTAGCCTCCAAGTAGCTGAGATTATAAGTACCTGCCACTGCACCAGGCCTGGTAACACTCTAGTGCTACTTTGGCAGTATTTCTGCAAATCTAAAATTTAGATTTTCTTATTTCTTCTTTTTTTCTTTTTTCTTTTCATACTTTGTCACCCAGGACGGAGGGCAGTGGTACAATCATGGCTCACTGTGGCCTTGACCTCCCAGGCTCAACCAATTCTCTCACCTGAGCCTCCACAGTAGCTGGGAGCACGGGTGTATGTCGCCACACCCAGCAAATTTTTTAAATTTTTAATAGAAATGGAGGTCTTGCTACATTACCAGGACTGGTCTTAAACTCCTGGCCTCAAAAGATCCTCCTGCCTCAGCCTCCCAGAGTGCTGGGATTACAGGTTTGAGCCACTGTGCTTGGTCTAAAATTTTTCTAAAAAATAAAGACTCTTTTTTTTTTTCTGAGACAGAGTCTCACTCTGTTGCCCATCACCTCAGTATAAGTTTAGAATGTTTTCTTTTTCTTTTGAGATGGAGTTTCACTCTTGTTGCCCAGGTTGGAGTGCAATGGCATGATCTCAGCTCACTGCAACCTCTGCCCCCTGGGTTCAAATGATTCTTCTGCCTCAGCCTCCCAAGTAGGTACAATCAGCTTCCCAAATAGCTGGGATTACAGGTGCCCACCACCATGCCCAACTACTTTTTGTATTTTTAGAAGAGTCGGGGTTTTACCATGCTGGCCAGGCTGGTCTCGAACTCCTGACCTCAAGTGATCTGCCCACCTCAGCCTCTCAAAATGTTGGGATTATATGCATAAGCCACAGTGCCCAGCTTAAAAAATAAAGTCTATCAACAATACTATAGATGAATGAATGAAGTATCTTATTTTTCATCGTGCCAACAATGATTATAGCTACTATGTCACAGAGCTATTTCTAGGATTTCACAGGGGGATGTCCATAAAGTATCTGCCATGAACCCATTCAATTCAGAGCACTTACCACTGTACTAATCCTATGCCATCCACTACAGAAGCCACTAGCCCTATGTGGTTATTTAAATTTAAATTTGAATTAATTAAAAAATTACACTCTTTTTTTTTTTTGAGATGGAGTCTCTCTGTCACCAGGCTGGAGTGCAGTGGTGCTATCTCAGCTCACTGCAACCTCCACCTCCCAGGTTCAAGCAATTCTCCTGCCTCGGCCTCCCAAGTAGCTGGGATTATAGGCGTCCGCCACCTGCGCAGCTAATTTTTATACTTTTGGTAGAGACGGGGTTTCACTACGTTGGCCAGGCTGGTCTCGAACTCCTGACCTTGTGATCCATCCGCCTGGATCTCCCAAAGTGCTGTGATTACAGGCGTGAGCCACTGTGCCCTGCCTTTTTTTTTTTTTTTTAAGACATGGGATTTTGCTCTGTTGCCCAGGTTGAAGTGTTATGGCATGATCACAACTCACTACAGTCTCGAACTCCTGGTCTCAAGGGATCCTCTCACCTCAGCCTTTCAACTAGCTGACACTAAAGGCCTACAT